TTTTCTAAGCAATTCTCCAGGTACTGTCCACTACTTTTTCAAATTAGAAGTAATTGAGGTGCAACGTAGAAGGATTTTTAACACCAGGAAAAGGTGCTAGCACGGGGAAAAGCAAGATACAATGCTATATAAATACAACATGTGCCTGGGAAATTTGCACATGAAGGAAAGAGACAGTAGGATACAACACCAAGTGTTGGCTGTGGCTGCAGGTAGATGAAGCTCTGGGCCATTTTTATTTTCATCTCTCTGTGCATTTTGATTTTTCTACAATAACCACATGTGATTTTGAGAGTCAGGGCAAAGCTATTTTTTAAACATACAAATGTATCATTTTACTTGAGGAGGTATGTGATAAATACGGGATGGAGGGATGGATAGGTGGAGGGGTAGATGGGTGGAGGGAGGGAGGGAGGGAGGGAGGGAGGGAGGGAGGGAGGGAGATGGGAATGTATAGCTCAGCGGTTAAGAATAAGAGCTATAGACAGACTTGGATTGGGAGTCACCTCTGCCTCTTAGCAGCTGTGTGACACTGAGTAAGTCACTTAACCTTTCTGAGCTTCTGTTTTTTTATCTGTGATGGGGCTTCAATTGCTGCCTGGTATAAAGCTGAGGGTTCTGATGCAGTTTCTGATGTAGACTAGACCCTCGACAGGCTGCAGAGATTGTATCTTCAGCTGAAGACGACGAGGAATGGGTGCTCTGCTGTTCCTCCCAATTCTCCCCATGCCCGGGCTTCAAAATCAAATTGGATTTGGCTTCTATATGGGCTCTGCACATGGCTAGCTGTGTCACCTGAGGCAAGTCACCTCTGCTTCTTTGTTTTCTTCTGCAGAATTACAGGATTGATAGTAATAACTGGCATGTATTAAGTGCTTACTGAATGCCAGCCTCTGTGCTGAGCACTTCCTGTACACCGAGAAGTGAGCTGCTATGATGGTTAAGGTTCAGGTGTTAAGACTCAGACCAGCAAGGTTCAAATTGCTAGTTTACTCCCTTTTCCTACTGGACAACCTTGGGCAAATTACTCAACCTCTCTGCGCCTTAGTTTCCTCCCCCCTAAGATGAAGTTAGTAACAGTGTCCACCTCACTGGGTTGCTGTGAAGATTATGTGATGTAATAGGTACAAAGTGCTTGGAAGAGTGCCCAGCACTTAGCACACAATCAATTTATCTTTTAGAATCATCTGATAGCCGTCTACTGTTATGCACTTCTCATCCCCAAAAGAAAAACAGAGGCTCAGAGAGGTGAAGTGACCTGCCCAAAGCTGCAGTCAGCAAGCTGCAGAACTGGAAGCTGGGCCCTAATTTGGCTGCTCAGGCTCTCCCGGGTGGGGGGGTGGGGTGGGCAGTTACGTAAAGGACCCGGCAAGGTACATGGCATACTGTAGGCCCCAGCTCCACTCACGAAGTCAGACTTCTCCTTCTCACCCAGCCCCAGGCCAGCCAGGGAGCAGGGCCTCCCTCCCCTCCCACCCCGTGATGGGTTCTGAATCCTTTACAGCTGAAGTCCCGCATCACTGCATCAAGCAGAGCCCTTGCCAGCTTCAGAGAAAAACCAAATGTGTTCAGCGTCAGGTCAGAGAAGCGTCTTGTTTTTATTAGAGTTAATCTAATACGTTGTCTTTCCTCGCTGAACTCCGAATAAGTTAATCAAGGACAGGCCGGATTTGTGTTTTCTTAATAACGCTGCCTGATTCCAAAGGCTGCCTGCTGTGAGCTCTAGGCTCCAGGCTTCTTTCTTATTTTCTCTTCCTTCTCTCTTTACATTTTGTAAAATATATACGATTTCCAGGGGGCACAGGGGTTAGTGTGGTATAGGAAAAGACTCGCCAGCTTTGGAATTCAATGAACCTTGTTTCAAATCTTAGTTTCTCACTTCCCCGTGTAACCTGGGTTTCTGAGTTTAAAATGTTCCCCATTTGTGAAACAGAATAACAGTGGTCTCTAACATTCTGAATTGCTGAAATTAAATTGGTGAAATTAAATAAGGCAATTTACAACATGGTCTAGCCCACAATGATCACTCAATAGACAGCTATTATTACTACTACTGAGAGGAACAACAACTATTAAGTGACCTATTATCATGAAACAGGAGATGTGATTAGCATTTCACGTATATCATTTCACTCAAATAACATGTGAAAAACAGGGCACCTGGGTGGCTCAGTTGGTTAAGCATCTGTCTTTGGCTCAGGTCATGATCTCAGGGTCCTGGGATTGAGCCCTGTGTCAGGCTCCCTGCTCCACAGGGAGTCTGCTTCTCCCTCTCTCGCTCCCCCTCCCCCCCTGCTCATGTACTTACTCTCTCTCTCTCAAATAAATAAAAAATTTTAAAATCTTTAATACATCAAAAACAAACAGGACAGGGGCTGGTGTGACACTGGTATTTAAGAAATGGTAGTAATTGCTAGTAGTGGTAGCAGTGAGAGCTCATTCTCACAACAACTGGGAGGTGTTGTGAGTGTTGTTTGAATCAACTACACCAGAAGGAATTCATATTCTATTCAGAACCTTGACAAGCACAGGTAATTAGATTCACCTAAGGACCCTGACAAGGACCAGAGAGGACTGGATCATTTGATCAAGCCTGGTGGGAGATCAGGAACAATTTCCTGGAAGTGAGCAAAGATGAGAGCTGGAGAAAGAGTGGAGTTGACCTTTGGAGGCACTCCAGACTGAGGGATGCTCATTCATTCATGGGTCCATCCAATCTTCCATTCATTCAAGAAGTATGAGCACCATGTCAGTGTCGGGCTCTGTCCCAGGTGCTGAACAAACAGCCTGGGGTGGGGGTGGGGAATAGGGCTCTGCCCCCATGGAGCTGGTAGTGGACTAAAGTGGGGGAGGCAGACTACAAACAAGGAAGCAAACATATCAACAGGATGCTCTGGATGGTGGTAAGTGCTGTCACAAAAATAAAACCAGGGGATATGGTTGTGACCAGATACAAAGTGGGGCCATTTTACTTAGGAAGGCCTCTATGGAAAAGCAAGGTTAGACTGGGGATCCAAAGGAAGGGAAGAAGGGCTCCATGGAAAGATACAGAGGAAGAGCATCCCACACAAAAAGAACTGGCCAAAGACCCTGCATTAGGAATGGGCTTGGTGCATTCAGTGAAGAAGAGGAAGGACAGTGGGGCAGGGTGGGGTGGTGAGGGACAGTGGAGAGTGTTCCAAGATAAGGTTGAAGAAGTGACCGCGATAGGAGACTCTGGAATCTATCCTAAGTGGGATTACAGTATATCCTAAGATGTGGGCTTCTAACAAACTTTGGAGCTTGCAAATTACTGAAAGGAGTTCAGAGTGGTGGGGGAAAGTCAGGAGTGTGGAGAAGGAAAGAGAAGCCACTTCATGACTTCTCCGTCAATGCAGCACCTCACACCTCATCCATGCCTACAAAGTGGGGTCCCTTCTGCAGGTAGATCCACAGGAATTTCCTGATCACCTTTAAGAACCTAGTATGTGCCCAGTGCTTTTATAACCACTGTCTCAGTGAGCTTTCAGGAAAAGCCCTAGACAGGAGGGGCCGCTGTCCTTAGTTTACAAATGACAAAACTACAGGCACCTGGGTGACTCAGTGGTTGAGCATCTACCTTCAGCTCAGGTCGTGATCCTGGGGGTCCTGGGATTAAGTCCTGCATCGGGCTCTTCACAGGGAGCCTGCTTCTCCCCCTGCCTGTGTCTCTGCCCCCCCCACACAAATACATAAAATCTAAAAAAAACAAAACAAAAAACAAAACCATGACAAAAGCATGGGAAGGTAAAGCCGTTTGCCTAGCCACACAGCTGGCAGGGATGGAACTGGACTATAAATCCAAGTTCCCCAGTCTCTTCTGGCACTACCCCCACCTTCTCCTCCACCTCCCTGTGAATGCTGGGGTCTTGAAGAGGCAGATTCTAGGAAATCCCCGAGGGTGGAAAGGTGGGATCTCCTGGATGGCCTCGGAGTCAGGTATAGGGTGGGACCGAAGCAGGGGAATGTGCTCCCCTGGAGTGAGTCCCTGCCACCAATCCTGCTTCCCTCCAAGGCAAGAGAAGGGGTTTTCTAGGAGTTGAATCACCACGGAAGTGTGACATGTGGCAGGGAACACAGAGGCTGGGGAGGTTTTTCTCTTGTCCTGATTCGTGGTGGATCTTCCCAAACCATCTGGCCCGGATTCCCAAAACATGCATTTGTGTTCATCTCAAGAACTGCAGGGTTGTGGGCTCCTCCCCCACATGCTGGTAGACGATGGCCAGACCTCAGCGGACTCTGGGAGACCATCAGGGGGCAAGGGTCTCCCTTCACCAAGCCTCAGTCTCCAGAGGTGTGACCTGGGCATAGGATCACACTCCTTGCTCAAGTCCATGGGGCACAGTGGAAATCAGAGAAGGTACCACACTCACAAAGAGCTTTGTGACTGAAAGGGTAAGAAAATGCATGGAAATGTGACCACGGCAGTGACACCCTCCAAGTGCCATCCCCTAAGCCATCCAGCAAGCCGGACCGAAAGGCGGCATAGTAGAACACAAGCTCTGCCCCTTACTAGTTATGCAGCCTTGGGATCCTGGTACCTCGGTTTCCTCATCCCTAAAATGGGTACCACAGCACCTTCCACACGGAATTGTGGTAACAATTCAATGCACGCAGAGTGCTTAAAAAAGTGCCTGGCACATAGTAAGTGCTCAGAAGGTGCTGCTTTCATCCTCATGTGTATTTATCTAACGAGACTAAAAAGGCTGCGAGGAAGTGTCAGGCTTTGAACTCTTGACAGAGGTAGGGTTCAAATCCATGCTTGGCTGTTTACAAGCTGCATGACCTTGGTTGGGTAAGTTACTTAATCTGAGCTTCGAATTTCTCCTCTGCAACGGGGGCGACAGTGAACCCCCTGGCATGCTGGTAGCTCTAGCTGTATGGCAGCTGGTTCCTATTAAACACTGAGACCTGGGAGCTGTTACTGTATTTTTCTCAGCCCCCCCACTCTCCTTGGCCACCGTCCCTTCTACCACTCTTACCTCGCTCCTCCTCCTTCTCCCGGACGATCCTCCCCTTGAGGGCTCGGCTCCAGGCTCCACCGTAGTCGCCCAGCTTGGCCCTCTCACTCCCGTCCTTGCCCTTGAACCAGGGTCCGTACCTGCGAGCGATGCTTGAGGTGTCGCCCGCGTCCCGGAAGCCTCTGCCCAGATGCAGGTCACCCAAAAAGGGCAGCTCGGCGCCCTCGGCCGGCACCCCCACGGCGGGGCTGGCCTGGCCCTGGGAGACGGCAGGCTGGCCCACAAAGCCCGAGTGCAGGAAGACCAGGCTCCCGGCCGTCAGGTAGAGCACCAGGAAGGTAAAGAATCGCACGGGCTTTCTGCGGAAGTACCGCTGGAATCTGAGCCAGAGCTTGGCCATAGCAGGATCATTCCGGACTGGCTCACTGGGGCTCGGCTGGCGGGGTTGGGGTGGAGTGGGAGGGGAGTGTTCCACAAGGGGAGCGAGGGGGCTGCGTTTCCCAAGCTTCCTTTAGAGATGGAACCCCTGGGGGTCTGCAGTCTTCTTCCCTCTGTGAAGGTGACGTCCCAAAACCAGAACAGGAGGCCAAGTCTAGCACTTGGTTGAGGCCAAGTGAATGAAGCCCTCCTCGGGTCAAGGTGAGATTCCCTGGGCCACAAAAGGGGCCCAACGCCCAGGAGTTGGTCTTATTTTCCTACATCTTGTTCTTTGTATCAGAGAGTTCCTGAAGAATTCTGACCACAGCAATCATAGGAGAACTCGGTCGGCCACCAGGACTGCAGCTCACTTCTCGCCTTTTTTTCTCAGCTCCTCGGGACCGTGAGGGCTGGATGAGTTCGCCCAAAGCAGTTTTCTGGCTCCTTCTGAAGCTGGGGGCCAAGCTCAGTGTCCACCTCATGAAAACAGAAGCTGGCCACCTTCCATCAGCTCAAGCCCTAAGCCTCACAGCTGCCACCTGCAAAACAGCACAGACATAGGCTTAAGAAGCCCCCTCACAGAGGCCAGAGCTCAAAGGGTTTCTGAACCTTCCCAAGGGGGAAGCAGAGGCCCAAGAGAAGGGAGGCAACCAATGTCCTGAAGCATCCAGCAATGCCAGGTCTTCCAGCATACCACCTTTTTCTTTAAACCAAACTGGGAATTTGGGGCCTTGACTCCTACTGGGCCCATGTTTGGAGACAAGCTTTATCTTGGACAAACGCAAGTTCTTATGCCCCGCACTTCCTACACATGTGTCAAATATACACTAATTCGCGAATTATTTTAAGTCCAAAAAGTACTTCCTAGAGTTGCCTGCTGGAGCTTGCTGATTCTAAACCAGATCAAATTCATTTTCTCCCCCACAGCAAATACATAGCAAGTACCTACTATGTAGCAGGTGCTGTGCTAAGTTCTGGAGATAAAGCCGTGAACCAGAGACATCAAGTTCTCTCCCCGCACAGGGCTCACATTCTAAAGGGGGGAGATCAAATTTGTAGCCTCTTTCTTCTATCCAAGGAAGAAAAGGAAAAGAAATCAGGATTATTTAGCAACATGGTCATTCCCTCTGCATTTACTCAGCATCTACAGTATGTCCGGCTTTGTGCCAAGCCCTCTACACGTGTCACCCATTCATTCTTCCCAGTGTTCCCATGGGAGGTAACAATTTCCCCACTTCATAGATTAGGAAATTGAGGCCACATAGCCAGTGAGTGGTGGAGTTGGGATTTCAACCCAGGACAGTCCAAATCCAAAAACCACAGTTCTCAACCACTGCCTTTGTGACTCGGCTTTTGTCCCACATGGACTGGGTATCACCTGGGGATTCAGAGAGAGGCCCTGAAGCAGCAGCCCATCTCCACTGTCTCCCAGTCACCCAGTGGCTCACTCTTTAACAGGGGGCCCCTCAGAGTGTGGTCCAAGGAGCCTCTGATCCAAAATCACCTGAGGAAAAAAAAATCACCTGAGAGCCTGGTAACATATGGAGATCTGAACCTCTCAAACCAGAGTTTCTGGTAGAAGGGAAAACCTACAGGTGTAACAAGGTGCCCTCAGGTAATGGTGATGGGCTCAGAGGCCCAAGGGCACTGCTTTATGAGTAAACATTAAGGATCATTAGCCAGGAGGAAAACAGAATGTAAATTAGGAAACAGAATACACCTTCAGGCCAATGTGATTTCATATTATCACCAGCAGGGGGCCTTGTGACAATCTTGGCACAGGATTAACTGGCAGCCAATGGAGGTCCTGAATGGTAACAGCCCCTCCCAACCAGAGCAGCATGGGAGTTTTAACTGTGGTTCAAGGTAGAATTCATCAGTCCTCCATATGCCACTCTGTTCATTCTGGGACGAAGTACTAAGCTCCTACTATGCACCAGTTATTGTTCTAGGCACTTGAAACAGATCCAATAGCCCCATATCCATGCTTTTGTAGAATCAAACCACCTGTTCATCCATCAAGCCATCTATCTATCCATCATCCTTTAATCCATCCATCAGTCCTCTTACTCATCCATCCATTAAGTCACAATCTATCCATCCATCATCCTTTAATCCATCCATCAATCCACCTACTCATCTATCCATTAAGCCACAATCTATCCATCCATTGTCCATTCCTTCATCCATCCATCAGTCCTCCTACTCATCCATCCATTAAGTCACAATCTATCCATCCATCCATCGTCCATTCCTTAATCCATCTATCCATCAATCCGCCTACCCATCCATCCAACCACCCACCATTCATCTGTTCATTAACCCATCCATTCACCTCTCCATCCATCTGAACTATACCCACCCATTCATCCATACAGCTCTCCCCTCACCCATCCCTCTACCCGTTCTTCCATGTATTCAAAACTGTGTGATGCTTGCCTACTGTGTGTGCTTGGGATGCAGGAATAAAGAATCCAGGGTCCTACTTCCAGAGAATTCAGTCTACTGAGGGAGACAGCAATTTAATCAACCACCATACTGAATCACTATACTAGATAGTGATAAATCCTGTAGTAGACATAGAGCAGCAATTAATATTAATAGCTAATGTTTCCTGAGCACTTATTATGTGCCAGACACTTCTCTGAACACGTAACGTACTCTGACTTAATCCTTAAAACAATTATATGAGGGAGATCTTTAGCCACTTTACAGAAGACAGAAATGAGGCTCAGAGAGATTAGGTAATCTATCCAGGGCCACACAGCTGTGGGGGCCTTGAACACCAAGCTCAGGAGTCTGGACTATGTTCTTACTGTATGCGTGTGGATCCACTTAAGTTTCATGGTCACACCAACACTTTAGAAAGCTCAATTTCTTATCAGCTTTGAAAACTGCTAGGCAGTGGGTGGTGACCCATCGTATTCCATGCAGATTACACACCTGCCAGATGTTTCTGCAGCTGGGCCAGGCTGAGAAAGAACCAGCAGCCATCATGGGGATGGAGACAGGGGGACACTAGCCCTTTCAGAAGCAGACAGCCGAGAGCATGGGCTCCGGAGGTGGACAGTTCTGGGTTCAGATCCTACCTCTTCCACCCACCAGGTATGTGACTGGGTCAACACCTGTTCTTGCCCACCGAAGTGCCTCGCCTGGAGAGTGGGCATAAGAATCTGACACCTCCCAAAAGATATGACTTCTGGGAGGACTGTATTTTAAAAGGTAGGAAGGCACTGCCTGGCACACAGTAGGTGCTCCAGGAAAGCACACACACCCCTCCCCCGCCCCACTCCTCTCAAGGGCACATGTGAGCAGCCTTCAAAGGCATTTGCCTCAGCAGCACATTTGCTGCCGTGGAGACGGCAGAGATTCTGGCTGTTACGTTCCCTGTGGCTTTTTGTCTCTCTGAGGATATTTCTGGGTCTAGTCCTTTTTTGTTGTTCCCTTCTCGTTCTTTTCTATTTCAACACATCTTTTCTCTAAGTGGGTGCCAAATGGGTTTTAAGAGGATAATGAGCTCATTAGAAGCTGGCAGGGAACAGGAAGAGACGAAGGCATGGGTGATGTGGGGAGTGAAGGGGCCCCACCCGGGAAGGGGCTGCGATGAGGAGGGGGTCCTCCAGGGAACCGGGGGCAGGGCTGACTTGAGCCATGCATGGCCCCCTGCCAGGGCCGGGAGGGAGGGGCCCAGAGGGAGAGCCCCCGGGAACCTGGGATCCACAGAGGTGGGGGGGGCACTGTCTGTTCTCTCCTCATCTGAGCCCCAGCATCTGAAGTACAGTAGGTCCCCAAGAGGTACCGGAAATTCTTGAAAAAGAGTCAGGGCTCTGACCTCCCCTGGGGGCTTAAACCGAAACCCTGACATCAGGACACGGGTGACAGCCTCAGAGGACAATGTTCAGGGCTCTGTGGAGATGGTGGCTTCCATTTCTCAGCTCTGGGTGGTCCTGGGGTTCAGGGTTCCCCACTCAGCTGCAGCCCCACCTCCCCAAGGGAGCCCTCAAAGACTACTCTGTCTCTTTCCCTCTGTCTCTCTCTCCAGACGGAAATTCTAACCTCAAAGGGAATGGGGCAACAAAACCAAGTGCCATTTGTTGAACACCTACTACATGCTGGACACTGCATTCAAAGACTTTGCGAACATTCTCACAAACCCCTCCCTCCCAGCAACCCCCGAGGCAGGTGATGGTTCTCCCCAGCCCACAGACAGCGCATCTACATCCCTGAGCTGGGGGCACATGCTGGCCTTCACCTCTCCGTCTCCGTGTGCCCATTACGTGTTGGAAACCACAACCCCGGCAACATTCTCACCTGTCACTAACCGGTGTGAGACCCCAGCAGGTGCCCTCCCCTCCGTGAGTTGCAGATTTCTATGAAATGGGCCAACCAGAGAGTCTTCTTCTTGGGATCTTGGGAGGGTCGGAAGTGGCAGCCCACGGGGCTGGAGTTGGTGCTCACGATGCGCTCTCAGGCTCCATCCCTCTCCATTCTGCATAAGAATCCTCTGAGCTCAGTTTCCCCACTGAATGTGGCAGATGAACTGATCCCTAGCCTGCCTCCCTCCCAGGGCTGGCGTGAGTCTCTCCACAAGGGTGAGGGCTAGAGGCCCCCTTTGCAAGAATGGTAGCATTTGGTTACTTACTGCAGTTCGTGTTTCCAGCTGGAGCCTCAGAGTGTCTAAACACAGCCTATTTTTAGCACCGAATGAACCGCTGGTGCTGAGCTGCCAAGAAAATGACTGGCGGGGCAGAGCTGCCCTGCAGGGAGGGAAAATAGGAGGTACAGCCTGCCCCATGGCTCTCTCCCCTGGGGGGGCCATGGAGCTGTCCTTCCAGATTGTGGGGGCAGGTAGGTCTGGCTGAAAGCCCGTGAGTCTGGGCAGGGGTGCCCCCCCCCCCCGTCTCTGGCCCTTAGAACTTGACTTGAGGGCACCAGCCCCAGGAACCAGCTGACCCCTTTGACATCCGAGCTTGGATGGGAGCCAAGAGAGAGCTCCCAATAAATCAGGTTTGTGAAGTTTTGATATCTTTGCACTCTGGGTAGGAGACACACTCGGGGCTCTCCAGAAAACCGGGAGCCCAGACCAGAGATGAAATTTTAGTATTGGCCTAATGATAAGAATATCATCAGACAGAAATCACCAGTATTTGTTGAGCATTTACTATGTGCCAGGCACTGTGCTGAGCATCATATCCCCATTGGGCCATTTAATCCCTTTGAGAACCTTTGAGGTGATTATTAACCTCTTTGTACCTCAGTTTCTCCATCTGTAGAATGGGAGAAATCATAGTACTTTTCTCACAGGATTTGTGTGAGGACCAAATGAGTTCATGTGGGCAAGTGTCACCTACCCGCTACTGCTTATCAGAATAATTTGTAGGTAATACATGTGGTTTTGCCTGCCCAGCGCCCTTTTTTTTCTGGTAGAAGGACCCTATTTTCCTGCAGAGAGCTTCTCTGTCAATTCTTAACTTGTATGGCTGGGGTAGAATAAATTCCCCTCACCAGCTGCTGCAAACACTGGAACCTGTGGTCTCCT